GGGGGATGGGGAGGGGAGAAGGAACTGCGGAGGGGGGTCTGCTTTAATTGTCAGAAGGCAGCTGGCCATTTGTTTTTGGTCCGATAAGCGCCAGAAATAGGACTTGTGAGTGTGTGAGTGTGTGAGTGTGCGAGGCTGGGCTGGGGCGGGGAGCGGAATCCCAGAGTGGGCTGGGCCGCCCCTGTTCCCGGGGGCCGCCCTCCCCTTTCCCTTTGATAGCTCGGCCAGCTGTTAGGGACACAGCTGCCTCTTGGGGAGGGAGAAAGGGCCCTGTTGCCCTGGGTGAGTTCTGAAGCTGCGGAGTTCAAAGCAAACCTGAGGAGTGAGGGGCCGGAGCGGGGAGCAGGGAGGGAGGAGGTGAGAAGTCAGCGAGGGGCAGGGAAAGGCAGGCTTCCTCTTTGAAGTCCTCCACCCGGAGCGTGGGGCAAGGCCTGGCCCGGTTCCTGCGTTTCCCCCTGGTCCCAGGCCCTTAGAGAGATCCAATTAACCACCCTTTCCTGCCTTCCAAGGAGGATGTTTATCCAGGTCCCGGGCCCACCACACACTTGCTACGTAAATAGTGCCCCCAAAGCACACACAGGCCCCAGGCACACACAAGTCCCGTATGCTCACAGGGGACCCCACGACACACACCAGCCCCGCACACACACGTGCACAGCCACACAGCCAGGGCACAGGGCCAAGCTGGTCTCTGCCCTCTAGGCCAGGAACCCACCTGGGGGTGGGGTGGGTGGAGGACAGCTATTGATTCAAGGACTCAGAGGTCCCCCAGCAGCCTGGGCTCTTCTCTATGGCCGATCTGGGGGCCGTTCATCTCAGGCTCATCACAATATCCGGAGAGAGACAAAGTCCCCCAGAGAACCCGTTTGGTCTTCCCAGGACAGGCCAGCTGGGGGGACACGGTCTTAGCTGCTGGTTTGCCAGGGGCTCAGGCTAGATTATTCGGTGTCAATTTAACAAAAGAAGGTGCCCTTGTTAATGAAGGAGAACGGCTCCAGGTGAAGACCAGCCTCTCCCATCCCTTTCCTAGGTGCGTTCTTATGGCTACAACTTACCAGGCACCAAATTGAGGGGGCACAGGAGTGAAAAGTAGGTCCTGCCCATGTACTCTCTCTCCCTCGTGAGGGCTTCCTTCTGTGTCTTGGGGGCATGTATGGTCTGGTCCTATTTACTGAACTCGCATCTTCTGTGTTGGATGGGCAGGGACGTTGGGTGTCAGGTGGGTTGAGGAGGGAAGTGGGCTCATTCTGGTTATCTCTGCCACTGCTGGGCCCATCTGGCTCCAGCTGGCTCTCAGTTGGAAGCCAGGTCTTATCAACACTCCACCCGCTCTGGCCCCAATCAGCGGCCCCCTCCCAGCTTTGGCCCCCATTTCCTCTCATTTCAACCAGTCTGATTCCCCTGGTGAGATTAATTGCTTCTTACCCCCTATGAGGCAGAGAGCCCAAGGCCAGGGGATTAAAGTGATGAATGCCTACCCTCTCCCACGGGCTCTCTATCTGACTCAGGATCCAAATGGGAACAGCTGGGAGGAGGGACCTGATTTTAGGGCCACGGGAACTCACTTGCACCCCTCCCTCTATGTTCCCAGCTGCAAAGGACAGGGGTACCTGCACCTTTCTGGGAGGAGCAGCGATCTGGAGTCACTGGGGGTCCTGAACTTGGGCCTTTATCCTGGAATGTCCTGAGCAGTCATTTTTATTGTAACAGGAACATCAGCTGTGAGCTGAGTTGAGCCAAAAGGTTGCAGCACAACGCTACTGTCCCTTCTGATAGGTCAAGGTTGATGAAGGTTAATTGGTGCCACCCAAGCTTGCTGTCGGGTTACAATGGCAATCATTCTGCCACCCACACAGGCTTCTATTAGACAGGCGTGCAGGAGAAAGCAGGTACCAGGCAGTTTGTTCCCTGGGTACTGTGAGAGCCGGGAAGCCCGAGCTTGGGTCCTATGGAGTGTCCTGAGCACTATTTTGCAGACTGCTAAGATGTCACCTCTCCGCCTGGCATCAGGCGGCCAGGAGTCCTCTTTGGGAATGACTGCGCACGGCACTATTTCTGGATCAAGATATGTTGCCAACCCCAAGGGTTTAGTGTAGACTGTTTCCTGGCAGGATTCATATACGCTGTTCAATCAAGAGGGGGGAGTCTCTCTGAAATATTTTAGCCAATCTATTTTAAATTTTCCCCATGAAGGCTTATTTCAAAGTAAATGCCATGTATCCTAGCACCGTTGTACATTTCTATAATGCTCAACAGATGACAAGTGCCTCAATTTAAAGAGGGTTGGAGTTTTTCCCTAGGGATCATAGTGGGTTCGTCTATGGACTCAAGGCAGCTTTGGGTCAAATTCTGATCCTGACCATTACTAGCTGGGTGACCTTGGGCAAGCTATTTCACCTCCCCATGCCTCAGTTTCCTCATCTGCAAAAATGAAGCACCGATTTCCCAAAGTTGTCTTGCCGATTAAAAGAGATAACAAATACACAAAAAATAGAAAATGTTTAGAAGAATTCCTAGCACATAGTAGGGGCTCAATGTGTAACGCTCAGGAGAAACACCAAGGTGTTCTCTTGTGCACTTGCCTTTAGGTAAAGGTCATCCAAGACCCTCAGGACCTTTCTTATCATCCTCTCCAGCCTCTCCTCCTGCACCTCCCCATTGCGCCCTAAGGCGTTGGCCCTGTTTATTTTCATTTAAAAAAAAAATCTTTGCATTTTATGTTTCTTCCTCTTGGTCTATGCTCCCTATTTTTCTCCCACCTTCTATTCTTGGCAAGCTCCGGTTCAAAGAACAGGAGCCCAAGGGCATGTTTTCCTGTCCTGCCCTATCTTTCTAAAAATGGTTTTACTTTCCAAAATTTAGGATATTTCTCATAAAATCCAGAACTTGAAGTTATGTTGAAAAACCAGCAGGCATGGAAATGCTGGTAACCAGAGACAGAGCTGAGGCGGCCTCCTTTTGAGGGAGTGTGCTGGTTCTGCTTTGCTGAAGTCCCCATCACTCCGTATTGTCTCAAACTGGCTGTTTACCCATATACGTTCTTAGCCTGATCCTTGTGGGTACTTGAGCTGGGGGCTTTCTGAACAAACCTCCCTGAAGACAATGGATTCTAGTTTTGTAAACCCTTTGCATTGCAAGCCTCAGCTCCTGATTTTGCATCACTTCACCCCTGCCCAACTTTAGGTGGCTTCCTCCACTCTTGAGGGGTGGGTATTATTTTACCTTATCTTGTCACCCTTCCCTCCTGCCTGCCCAGAGGTCCTGGGGAGGAGAGCAGGGCAAGATGAGTTTCTATAGGACTGTGCCCATGGCATCTGTTCTGGGCTGCTCCTTTCTCTGCCTCCTCCTCTAGCTGTAACACCCTGTCCCTGGCCTTACAGAAGCTCCTTGTCCATGGAGGGCATCAGAACCCGAGAACTGAAATGCAGCCATGCTCTCATTGCATAGGGCCTCACACACTCCTTCCTCTTCCTGTGGACTCCCTTTTTCATTCTCTCTCTGATTCACCCATTTGCTTATTCATACTCAACAACCATTTCGTGATCACTTACTACATGCCAGGCACTGTGTTAGGTGCTTGGAGAAGAAGAAAAGCAAACAGCAAAACCAGAATGAAAGTCATCCTGTGACCTTGGGCAAAAGACATTTACCTTGTTAGGCCTCAGTTTCCCCGCAGGTTTAATAACTTGATTCGATATTCTTTTGTCTGGGGTTTCTTCCGTCCTGTGACTCTGTCCTGACTCTAAAACTTCTGATGCCATCTGCAAATTGCTATCTGCTGACAGCTTATGAATTACAGAGAAATCTCCCTGTACCTGCGTCTATAAAATATAAAAGTTCCCAGAGAGAGGGTTAAAGCAGAAGGGTAAAGGAGAGTGAAGTGAGCAAGAAAAGTACAGGGAAGTCTGGTCTGGGAGAGGGCAGGGCGGCAGGAGTGGAGGGAGGGTGGGACAGACCCAAAAGGCTTGCCAGATGCTCAAAATCTCACACCCTCCTTGTCCCCGACCCACCCTGGCTCCAGCTAGGGCTAGATTTCAATCTGCATAATTTGCCCCATTTAGAGAAGATGGGAGGGGGTGAGAGCAGGAGGGTGGTGAGGACTGAGGGGTAAGGGGAAGACCAGAGGAAACCCGAGAGATAGAGGCGGGAACAGGAGGAGAGTGGGCTGCAAGCCACAGATAACATTCTGCCCAGCACAGCAGGGGTCAATTTGGTTCACTTGCCCAGTGACAAGAAGGAAAAAAAAAGTGGGCTGTAACCTAAGGATCTTAAGACTCACAAGTAAGGGGCTGGTTTGGAGGTGGGAGGAGGGAGTGAGGAGTCGAGGAGGAGACCGGACTCGGGAGGGTGCAGGAAACTCTTTGGGGCTGGGGCCAGGCAGGAGAGGGTGGGGAAGTCTGTGGGCGCAGTCATCCTCCAGGGTCCGGTCCAGAGGCAGCTTCTCCCGCTGTGGGGACGGGCTCTGGACACCTTCGGCTCTTCTTGCCTGTGTTCCAAGGCGCAAGCCAGAAGCTCGGGCGCTAGCTTGCTGAGCTGGTGACACAGGACACAGCCACAGAACTGGTTCCCCCGGGGACCCCTGCCTGTCTGCTCTCTGGCCGGCAGCATGGAGGAAAGTAGCGAATTTGACAATGACTATGGGGCAGACAACCTGTCCGGGTGTGAGTACACGGACTGGAAGTCCTCGGGGGACCTCATCCCTGCCATCTACCTGCTGGTCTTCCTCCTGGGCACCACGGGCAACGGCCTGGTGCTCTGGACCGTGTTCCGGAGCAGCCGGGAGAAGAGGCGCTCGGCTGACATCTTCATCTCCAGCCTGGCCGTGGCCGACCTGACCTTCGTGGTGACCCTGCCGCTGTGGGCCACCTACACCTACCGGGACTACGACTGGCCCTTCGGCACCTTTGCCTGTAAGCTCAGCAGCTATGTCATCTTCGTCAACATGTACGCCAGCGTCTTCTGCCTCACCGGCCTCAGCTTCGACCGTTACCTGGCCATCGTGAGGCCGGTGGCCAACGCCCGGCTGCGGCTGCGGGTCAGCGGGGCTGCGGCCACGGCGGCGCTCTGGGTGCTGGCCGCGCTCCTGGCCATGCCGGCCATGGTATTGCGCGCCACGGCCGAGGTGCCTTCCGGCCTGGACAATGTCACGAAGGTGCAGTGCTACATGGACTACTCCATGGTGGCCACCCTCAGCTCCGAGTGGGCCTGGGAGCTGGGCCTGGGGGTCACGTCCACGGCGCTGGGCTTCGTGGTGCCCTTCACCATCATGCTGACCTGCTACTTCTTCATCGCGCAGACCATCGCGGGCCACTTCCGCAAGGAGCGCATCGAGGGCCTGCGCAAGCGGCGCCGGCTGCTGAGCATCATCGTGGTGCTGGTGGTGACCTTCGCGCTCTGCTGGATGCCCTACCACCTGGTGAAGACGCTCTACACGCTGGGCAACCTGCTGCACTGGCCCTGCGGCTTCGACCTCTTCCTCATGAACGTCTTCCCCTACTGCACCTGCATCAGCTACGTCAACAGCTGCCTCAACCCCTTCCTCTACGCCTTCTTCGACCCCCGCTTCCGCCAGGCCTGCACCTCCATGCTCTGCTGCGGCCACAGCAGGTGTGGGGGAGCCTCCCACAGCAGCAGTGGGGAGAAGTCGGCCAGCTACTCCTCCGGGCACAGCCAGGGGCTTGGCCCCAACACCGGGAAGGGCGGAGAGCAGACCCAGGAGAAATCCATCCCCTACAGCCAAGAGACCCTTGTGGTTGACTAGGGCTGGGACCCCAGAGAAGCCTGGTGCCCTCTGCATGCCCCAGCCCTCGCCCTTGCTCTCTGAAAGTCAGGTAGCTCGAGGGCGCTTTTGCTCTTGCACTGGTCTCCGTCCTGGCTCCCTGCCTCCCGCCTCCCTCTTGCACTCCTTTCTCCTTTAGTTTTTGGTCAGAGGTTGCGGTGTGATGGAAGGAGATTGAGCCCTGCAGATCTGAGCTTGGCCACTCAACACTGTGAGACTGACTTTGCACAAGTCTCTTAACTTCTCCGAGCCTCAGTTTCTCCGTTTGTGTATGTATGATGGGGAAAGTCATATGGGCACTGAAATGATGGGTGTGTCTGGCTCAGTAAAAGTTGGTGTCTTTGCCCCCCCCCGCCCCCATCTTTCATTCTGGGATCTCAGCTCTTCTTTCTCCTTCCTTTCTGTTTAGTTTTCTCTACCCTCTCCCTCCCTTTGTTTTTCCCTCTATCTCTGTATAGTTTTTTACCCTCTGAATCCTTAGCTCTGGCTCCCGCCCCTCTCCCATAGCTCATTCCTCCCCTCAATCCATTCTTCTTCCTCTTTTTACCTCCTTGTTGTGAGGGGCTCCTAAGGGTTAAGAATCCTGAAGCTTGTAAACACTCTTTATCCTGTTCTCTGAGAAAGCCAAGGGAATGGGCTGGGGCGGGGTCGGGCTAGGTGTCAGGGACAAGTTAGCACTAGCACTCCAGTCTGCAGGAGCTCAAAAACTTTCCCCCAAATGGGATCAGAGTGCTGTGATTTCAGGCACCTCTGGGGGCTCCCTTCCTGAAGCCCATCCGTGATGCCAACCAGACGTGCTTTCTGCAGTTTTCCTGGGACGCTGTCATTCCTCCTCTCATCTCTGTGGGAACCGAAGGGCAGTGGGTTCACAAGCAACGGGCTCCTTGGATTCCTCCTGTGGATGGGGGGTTGGGAAGGGACAGGGAGTAAAAGCAGAGTCAGCATTTGGTCTATATGTGACTTGGCTTCTCTCCCACAATCTTGCCCCCCACAACCTCCTTCAGAGCTGAGCTTACCCCACCCCACCCATCACCCCAGGATGCGTTTCTTGGGCACTGGTGCTACTCCGTGCCAAGAGTCAACTTTGGATGTGGTGGAGATGCTTGCCTTGTGTGTGTATATGTATATATATGTAAGCCTGGGTGAACATAGCATGACAGCAGTGTGCCTGGGTCACTTGTCACTTGGATGAACCCCCCCATCTCTATTCTTCACACAGTATGTTTGAGAGAAGAAGGGGCATATTGAGGCAATATAGAATAAAAGGGAGTCCACCCCCACTGGATTTGGGGGCTCTGACGGCTGGTCCGTGCTTTAAGAGAGAAGCCTGTGTTTGTGTTTGCTCTTGGTTTCCTGTAGGGACATCTCTCCCCAGAGCTGCTGACACTGAGGCTTGGGGACGAACTATGGTCCCATGTGCTGGGTCCCCAGACCTTCCTTAGTTCCATGAGGGAACCAGGAGGCTGGTGGAAAGCTTCCCTGGGCCCCGTTCTCACGCCTTCTCACCTTGCTTTGAGTTTATGGGCGTTTCTTTCAGCACCCTCCCTTTTTCCCGGGTCTGTGACCCTCTTCCTAAAGGGGGACATCTGCTTGCCATGGGGTGAAGAGCCCTTTGAGTTTTTCTCACTCCCCCATCAGGATCGGACCCCTTGGCTTCTCTCGCTTGGTTGGGGGCTGAGAGCAGTGCCTAGAGCAGCTGTGCAGGGCTGACATCATGAGTCCACACATCCAGAGAGACCTTGAGGGTGGCATTGATGGTCCGGCCTTTGTGAGCTGGGGGCAGGGTGTGTATGTTCCGGGTTTTGTCTTTGGAGGATTCTAGACATGAAGGACAAGACATCAGCCATGGAGGCAGGAAGAGCCCAGCTTGGTGTAAATGGACATCTTGGTCATTGCTGGCATGAGGTCAGCTCTGGGAGTGGAAGGAGGAGGAAAAGGAGAATGGAGAGACTCAGCTTAGTAATCTCCCCGTCACAAGCCAGCATCTTCCACAGACTTTCTCAGCCCAGGACTGTCCTCAAAGCATCCAGCCAAGGGTGAAAGAAGCTTTTAGAAGGGAAGAGGGTGTGCCCCTCAGAGACCCTCCTGGGGACTTGCAGATACCTCCCACCTGGAACTCATCAGTGGTCCTGGATAGAGGGTGGAAGAGGCTGCCTGCAGTGTCCCTCCCTTGTCCCCAATCTGCCCCTTCTTGGAATGTCTATGCTATTTTCTGACCCTGTTGGTCACTGCGGTTCATTAAATAAATCTGTTTTGTGTAACTATTGTGTTCAAAGACCCTTCTCACACAAGTGTCTTAGGATGCCAAAAAGACCCCCAATTTACAGATGTTACAGTGGGAGGTGGTGTGAACCCAGCTGAGAGAGAATAAGAAGGGAAGTGGAAGCTAAAAGGACTAAAGTGGGAAATTGGAAAGGACATGGGGAAGCTGCAAGAAGATGGAGGAAATAGACCAGGGGAGCAAAGCTTTCAGGATGAGATCGGGGGAAGGCAAAGGAAATAAGGGGGTGGGGAGCAGCTAAGTTTTTGTGTTTGGAAAAGCCTAGAAAAAATGGGCACACATTTTGAAGACTGGAGCACAGATCTGAGGGAAAATATTAACATTTCTTCCTGTGGAGGTAGACCTATTATTTATTCACTAGAGGCCCACCCCTGATCAGGGCTGTGTTGGGGGAAAGACCGCAGGCGGTTGGTGGGTCAACCTCACCCCCTGGTGGAACTTCCGGTAGAGGGGCAATTTGCATATTAGCCTTTTATTATATAGGATTAATTTATCCCTTTATTCATTTATCATCCCCTATTGACTCATTCATTCATTATCACATGAGCATCCATTCAGTTACACCAGAAGTTCCAATGCTTGTTCTCCAATCAGAGTCACTCTGGATGGTTTTGTAAACACTCATGCTTTTTGTCATCCAGACCAATGAATTCAAATCTCCTAGACTTACCCCACAGTTTATCATTACTAAAAATTCCTCAAATGATTTTGGGGGAGGACACGTTTGGATATGTTTCCATCTACATAGATTCTGTCCAAATTAACATGGACACAAAAAGCCTAGAGAGTCAGAGGCAGAGGCAACGGGCTCTGGACGGTTATGGAATTGGGGGAGGACAGGGCTGGAATGAAGATGTGTTCACTATCTTCCACAAAGACCTCTGCTACTAAGAATGTTTGCAGATAACACAGACACAGTCACTGTGGTAGAACGGGTAGGAACATGAGAGGTCACATTTGCTGCATTTACCACAGCACTCCCATTTTCCAAGCATTATCTCACTTAATCCTTGCAATCCTCTGTCAGGGACATTTTAACCTCATTTTGTTGATAAGGATGCTGAGGATCAGAGAGCTTAGTTAGGTCCTTTGACCAAGATTACACAGCCAGTTCATCGAAGAGCCAGGCCTAGAGCCAGCCACGTCTAACACCAAAGCTCATGCTCTTGACCACTGTTCCTCCAAAGTACAAATAAGGCTGTTCCAGGTGGGTAGGATGGAAAGTGAGGTGTCATCTGTAAGGTGCTTGCCACAGGTGGATCATACGTGGAGAGTGCTCCAGGAGTGGGTGGTTGGGGCAGGATGGAGATGGGACAGGGAGGATGGACGATGCACAAGAGAGAGGGAGAAAGAGAGAGGAGGGGGAAGGGAAGGGAAAAGAAACAGATGGAGACAGAGACAGCAGAAAGGAGAGACAGAGACAAAGAGAGAAATAGAGACAGAGCGTGGGGAGGTAGGTGGAAAGCAGAAATTGGGAGGCAGGGAGGAGCTGGAAGACAGGGTATCAGTGCATGTTTTCAGTCTTCTGAAACACACCAGGGAAAACCCTGTGGGAATTTACAACCGTAACAACCACCTATTCACACAATTTTGTTACAGATGCTGAAAAAGCCTCACCAACTCTCTAGGGAAATTTGAGGTAAGCTACCCCCCTAAATTGTAAGATTATAAAGCACTTAATAATTCACTTGTTCACACATTTCTTCACTCACTCACTCACTCACTCACTCATCTGTTTCTTCAACAAGTTCTTATTTATTACTTAGGTACCAAGGAACATGCTGGGCACAGGATCAAATGGTGAACAGGACCCTGCGGCTGCCAGTCTGGTAGTGGAAACACAGTTGAATGGGTGATTATACTGGAGTGTGGTTTGAAGAAAGGGAATGTAGAAGTGTGTGGAGGGCCTTATCTAAATGATGGTATGAGTCTGGGCGGGTGTCAGGGGAGACTTTAGATACACAGTGGATGCCAGGAGACTGCTCTTGCAGGGTGAGGGTGAGCGATGCATGGAGAAACTGCTCCTTGCAGAGGAAATACCCACATATAAGAGAGCATGCAGCCCCTCTGAAGAGCTGGAAAGAGAGCTCATCTAGTTCTCACCCCAACCCTACCTCAGCTCTGGGAGGTGAGTCAGGCAGAGGCATGGGAAATAGCTTGCCCAGGTCTCAGGGTGTGGATGACGAGCAGATTGGGGCTGGGACTAAAATCTGGGTCTCTAAACAATGTAGGGGAGCCAGAAAATTTTTTTTATGGTTTCTAGTTTTTCTTCCCCTTGGGCTTGAGCTATCTTTCTCTAAGATATCTGTCAGGATCTCCTAAAGAGGCCTTCTCACGCTGGGCCTGTTGGAAAAAGATTCTAAGAAGGGGTAGATGGATCCCGTGGGAAGACCATCCTGAAACTAGAATGACACTCAGCATCATAGGATCTTGCTATGATTATCCTGCCATCTCAGCGGGTACCACTCTGTCTGAACTCCAGGGTGTTTGAAGCTAGCAAGGCCTGATTCATCGGGTGCAGCTCTTTTCACTTATTGCCCAAAATGCTTGTAAAGTTGCTATGAGCGATGTCAGAGTCACAAAGACATGACTCAGAACTTAAAATTAAGCGCACAAGAAAGGAGATTTGGAGATGTTGGGCTGATACTAGAAGTTTCAATTTGTAGTTTGAATGTTAGAGCATCAAGCAATATTCACTGATTTATTCATGTAACAAACCTACAATGCGTCTGGGACTCTTAGAAGCTGAGGATACAGAGGTGGACCAGACATGATCTCTGTCTTCACGGAGCAACTTGAAGAACCTTCTAGCCTTACCTTCCCATTCAATAAATGGATAAATTAAGGCCCATGGAGGAGGACTGATCTATACAGGTCTTATGGTGGAAAGATGGCAGGGGTGGGACTAGAACTTAGGCTTCTTACTGCCAGGCAAGAGCATGTTCCATGTTTCCAGGCTTAGAAAAGAGAAAGGGTCTTTTATTGAGGCTATGAAGAACAAGATGAGAGGGTCAAAGCAATGATGGATCACTAACTGGGGAGTGGGTGGGCACAAAGGTGCTGGGAGATGGTTAGCCATAGTTTCGTTAATACACCTTTTATTTTAGAAGAGTTGTAATTTTAAGAAGCGTGAGTACAGAGAGTTCCATATATTCCACATCCAGTTTCTGTTATTAACATCGAACGTTAGTAGGACATACTTGTCACAATTAATGAACCAATATTGACATACAGGATGTCCCCCCAAAATGTATACACCACTAAAAGCTGATAGTCCAATGGACATTTCTTTTCAGATTTAACCCATTGGAATGAATAATTATTCAAAGCGTGTATACATTTTTTGGGACACCCTATATTACTACTAACTGCCCATACATTATTCAGCCTGCCTTCCTTTTTACCTATGTCCTTTTTCTGTTTTAGGATCCTATCCAGGAGACCTCATTGCATTTGGTCATTTTGTCTCCTTAGGCTCCTCCACACTAGGACTGTTTCTCAGACTTTATTTTTGTTAGCCCTGACAATTTTGAGAAGCACATGTCCAGTATTTTGTTCTGTGTACTTTTTAAAACAAATGTGTTTTTATTTCCATGTACCAGGCATATGCTAGATGATTAGGAGAGAGCAATAAATAACAGACAAGTGATTCCTGCTCTCTGGCAGTTTAACAATGAGTAGTAAAGTGTAGTAGCATCATTGCAGGAAGTACAGCGTGCCATGGAGGCACCCACCCGTCTTCTGCTGTGCAATGATGAGTGATCACAGATGGGTCAATGCACTGGCTGAAAACATAGGTCACCTGCAGCTCCACCTGGGTTCAAATGTGGCATTCTCTCCCACCTCCAAAGCATCCTAGGGCTCATTTCTGGCCTGAATGACTGGAAACCTGGGGACATGAGACAAAAGCATATTGTATTCAGTGGGCATCTTACCCTATATTGTTCTGTACTTTATTATTTAGTTCTGTGACACATTTCTTGCCTACTCAAGGATGCCTCCTATATAGATAAAGGATAATGGGAAGTGGATTCCCCAAATCTGCTTGAACTACCCTACACAGTCAGCACCTTCTTGTCTTCTACTTCAGTGGGAACATATTTCTAGAAGAGCCCTTTTTGGCTGCAATGTAATGGCTCTGTGTGCTCGTCTGTCTCCTCTGCTCTATGGGCAGTTCCTCTAGAGTAGGAGCTGTGTTTATGCATCTCTGTTCTCCTGGTGCCTGGAATGGGCAGGTTGCTCAAAGGGTGTTTGCTTAAATGATTGAACAGCTGGATAAAGAAAGTTCAGGAGGAAAGGTGAGAAACACTGATTTTTGCTTAAAGTGAACAAATTGATTGCTTTTTAAAAAGTCTAGAAAGATAAGATAAAGATTGGTGATGCACTGAGGTTGGTGAGAACTAAGATTACTAACCCTGAGTCAACTACATCCGATAGCCTTTTCCTCTTTGAGCCGCTGCTTGGGAACCACAGTGCTAGAACACAGGAATTAGTTAAGCCATGTTCTGCAGGGCACTTCTGATATTCTTGCAAGTTGAATTTCTAGAAGTACAGCTTTGCAATGACCAGTTCAGTGTTTATGCTGAACACTCTGTCTTCAGGTATCTCTGGCTGGATGGTGGTGTGTGAGGCTGGTTGGCTTCCTGTGGAAGTTATCGGTGAGCCAACTGGAGCTGGCACTGAGTCAGTTTCTGGGAAACTATGTTCATGGAGGAAGGACTCTCATGATGGTGGGATGTACCAATTGAGTAAAAAATAAAATCTTGGACTTCCTCCTTCTATAAAAATACCCAGGGAAAACTTCTCTTCCGGACCTTAAGAAAATCTGGTCCAGGTTTAAGGGCATCCAAGAAGAGTTGGCAGTTTTCCTTCAGGGTCTGGAATATGTCCATAAGTTCAAGAGGTTTTCCTGTATGATGGGGATGATGTGGCCTCTGGTGATAAGAGAGAGACCCAAAGCTTCATTCTAGGGGGGCTGGTTTGGTCTCTTTGGCAGAGAACAGATTTTGGCAGCAGGTATAATAATGACCCAGAGTTTTGGGACTGTCATCCCAAGGTGCCAGGATTGAAGAGCATGGATGTGATTCTTACCATTAGGAGAAAGGATGCACCAATATAGTGGTTAGTTGGTTTCTGGGATGAGACCCGGAAGCCCTTGAGCATCCCTGGGATTCAGCTGGCTGCCAGTTCTGTATTGGGGTTGTTATTAGGCTAACAGGGCCCCTGGAAGGTGATTGTTATTTGCTGTGCTAATAATTAGCTATTTTATGTTTGGGAAAAGCAGAACAGCAATTACCAAAGGAGTTGACTAAAGACAGATGTTGAGGCTGGAGGAGGAAGTGATTCCATTCTGACTGTGGAAATCCCAGCAGCCCAACATGCTGGCATGAAAAACACAGCATAATTGAGTTGGCAAGGAATGCTCTTACCCTCCTACTTCACTAATGAAGGAAGTAAACCCTTGGGAGGGTAAGTGACTTTTTAAATGTCATTGATAGGTAGTAGCTAAGTTGGTTGGCGGGGCTCTCTTAATTCCCAGGCCTGCTTGCTTTTCATGTCACAAAGTTATCTCTTTTCTATATTATAGATGGTTTTGGAAGGGCTACTTATTAGAGTAGACAGACAATAAAAGATAGTATTGATGTGTCCAACTTGTGTTAGTGATGATTTAGCTTGTTTTATTCAAAACTATGATGTTAGTTTCCTGTTGTCCATTCTGTTAAGGGCACAATTAGACAGGTCTAGTCTGAATCCCAACTCTTCTTTTTTTGTGTCATCAAGACCAGTATTTCTTAAACGTTAGTGTGCAGAAGAATCATTGGGGATGCTGTTAAAATACAGATTCTGATTCGGTAGGTCTGGGGTGTGTCCAGAGGATGTTGTTTCTTTAAAAGACTTCTGGCAATGGTGGATGCTGTTGGTCCAAGGAACACACTCAGGGAAGCAAAGATCTGGGACATCATATTCATCAATGGACTGCTTTCTCATCTATAAAATGGGATAATAAAAGTGGTTACCCATAGTACTGGTTTAAAGGTTCCATGAGTAATGTTTGCAAGGATCTTGCACACTTTCTGGCACATAAGAAGTAATCAATAGTGTCCCAGTCCATTTGGGCTGCTAGAACTAAATATCATAAACTTGATGGCTTATTAACAATAAACATACACTCCTCACAGTGCTGGAGGCTGGGAAGTTCAAAGTCATGACCCTGGCAGGTTCAGTGTCTGGTGAGATCCCACTTGCTCATTGGAAGCTGTCTTCTGTGTCCTCACATGGAGGAGTTAAGAAACATGTAAGTTGCTAGACTTTAGTGGTGGGAAAATGAGGGAACCCTGGTATTGTGCTGTTTAATTTTCAAGTGACTTGTAAGATGAGTTCATCAGGTGTACAGGAGGTAGTGAAAGGTGTATATAAAGTTTTGAAGGCTTAAAGTATCATCTTGGGCAATGAAAAAGCAAAATTCCTAGGGAAGTATATAGTGCTGATTCTCTCCTTCGAGATTTGTGTCCATGAATTCAAAGGGGAATCATTCAGTCAGGTTGTGCGATTTTCTCTGGCAGCATTTAGCTGCTGTGGCTACAAGCACAGAGAAGATGCTCAGTAAGTGTTGGAGTTTGCAAGGTGATTGTGACATAGGAGAGAGGCATGTGGTATCAGGGTTGTCTGCAAGGGAGTAGATATAAAGAAGTGCAATGGAATCAACTTCTGTAAGGAAGGAAGCAAAGACAGGAGGTAGACTTATGGGCATGTGATAGACATAGGTTAGTGGTCATTAAAAGGGACAAGAAATGTGGGAGTGGGGGCCCCACTACAGCAAGTGAGCTGGAGGAGTGGGGAATTGAGGTCAAAGAACAAGATTTTAAAATAGAGATTTCTGGTAATGACAGGGTCTATGGGATAACTGTTGAGTGGATAGCTGAAGTGGAGTGAAGAACAAGATTGTTGGGGTCAAAGACATCAAGAAATGGTGAGTTCTCGCTCTATATATTGACGTTCTGAGAATTATTGTAGAAAGAAGGCAGTGAATATGATTGTACCCAGGAGCTAAAGAGTGCAGTAAAGAAGGAATAATGACTAAGAGAAGAGTAGTAGGAGCCCAATGAGGAGGAGGGCATGGGTATGAAATAACTATAAATAGGGCCATGGTTAGCTCATATGCTTTTATGCAAATTAGAAAAAAAATGCCTCTTCTCCAGTGGGAAGCATAGGGTGGGGAGTGTGGGCTGGATTTTATTCACCCCTCAGATGGGCATTCTTGGGCAGGACACCCCTACTTGGGCAACCTGTAGAGCCATACCCGGTAGTCCTAGTTGAATGGCACAGGCATAAAAAAAGTCAGCTTTTTGCAAGGGAAATATCCTGAAAGAGGTCACGGGGAGCAAAGATCAGCACTCTGACTTTAAGGCAGGGAAGCTGAGGCCTAGAGAAGGGAAATAAACACATAGGAGGTCAGCAGCAGAACTGAAACAAAACTGTTCTGACACTTGGTGTTTTCTGCCACAACCCGTCATGGAAGTGACGTTTTAGCAAATGCTTCAGAATTGCAAATTAAAAAAAAAAAAAACACCCCACATGTTTTCCCTCAAAGTCGCTTTTGTGGGAGGTGACAGACTTCTTTCTAGTGATGCTGCCATTGTTCCAACCATTTCTGGAAACTCCTTCAGCTATATGACCTTCTGAGTCACAAAGACAGCCCACCGCACTGGAGAGCCTTACTGAATACCTGTCCTTGTCCTTCTCTGGCCTTGGGTTGAGAGCCCGAGATGCAGCCTAGAAAAGCGGCCTCTCTACATCTTATTTAAACATGTAGGTAGTTGGCACTCAGCATGTTCTAGGCCCATGAGATCCCCATCAAGCTTTGGGGGTCAGCTATCACTGTGAAGTATGTTTGGTTTG